ATACATGAGATAATCTGTCATAATCCTGAAAGAATGGGATGGTTTTGACTCGTTTACTCTAAGCAGGAGGCATTTCAATATTTTCCCGTAGGCTTCTAATGTAAAGGTCACGAATCTGACTTGACCTCAGGTTAAAGATATAGAAATTCTGAAGCATACAATTTGCACATACCCGAATGAAAACTTGAAGAACGGAACTTGTTCCAGTAAAACTCTAGTCATCTAGTGTGATTGCAAACTTTTCTGAGGTGGGGTCAACAAACCCGCCCTAGTGACCTGACCTGACCCGGCATTTTGTTTTGTTTTTTTTTGCCAGAATGTGCGCAATGGATGTTAAGGAAAATAACCGAGTATGAGCTGAAAGCCTTGCGGCGTATGACAATGGCACAATAAAAAATGGGGGGGGGGTCACCCCCCCTCCCCTCACGGAATACGGTTCCCCTCCCCTCACGGAATAGGGTTAACGTGTCCATCAGAGCCAGACACGGCCCGCCCCGTTCACTCATCTCATCTGCCCTGTAACGCGACCACTGCCACCGACCGCAGGCCATCCACGTCAGGAGCAAATAGCGAAAGCCTGAACGGCTCGAACGGCGTTTTCACTATCGATCGGCCTTGGAGACGGTCCCTACTGGGGCGGGGATCTTTAACCTCGTGAGTAGTTTCTACGTTTTTATGCTGCCCGTGTGTACGTACAAAAATCAATCACCTATAATTTTTAATTACTATACTGGCGATGCCTTTGCTGCAATAAAAAATGAATAAAATAAGCAAATCAATAAATAAAAATAGGAAAACGTTATATACAGAGATAAACACACAAAGCTATGTATTATTAACCCTCGCCCGTATTGGTGTTTTTCCAGCCACGAACGTATAAGGGGGGAAACCGTTGGAACGGACCCCCCCCCCTTGCCGTTTCGCCCCTGATCAAGCTAGAGCTTCGCGGAAAAAACTAGCGTGTTGCCCGTGACGAGAGGAAGCCGATGATACCCAATTTTAAGGTCCTAGGTTATCGGTTGACCTTCCAGGTCAGGTCAATGATCCAAAAGTCGGGAAAATCGGACCTGTTATAACGTCGTAAAACGTGGCTGCTATGGGGGTTTCGGGGTGCTGATCACGAATATCATGTCAGTTATGATCATAGATGATGTCTTCATACATTTAGGCCAGGTCGGGTCAGGTCAAGTCAGGTCAACCAGTAAGGGTTTTGCCGGGTATTCGTAGTAGGTGGCAACCGCCTCTGACAGCTACGTAACATGTTACGAAGGCACCAAAATTACTTCGTAAATGTTCAAATGGTTGCTAAATTCGAATTCAGCTCCAACAACTAGCATAGAAACATGTAAATCTCGAAAAAGCGAACCGAGGTCATCAAAGGTCAATGACCTGACCTGACCTTCTTATGACCTTGAAATCCACCGTAATGCATTGGAGCAACATCATATCCCATGTTTGAACGCTTGAAACCACGAAAAGACTGCAAACGCGCGGCTAATGCGAGCCGATATACGCCGAATCGCGATTCCGGCCAAACATGGTCTCGAAAAGTAGGTCACAGGTCAAATTTCATTGGGGTCAGGGTCATGAAATTTTCAGGGTAGGTGTAAAATTGATTAACCCGCGCCCTGATGGGGTCTGCCGAGCAACGCGGTCTGATGGGGGGGGGGCATTTTGGCCCCCCCTAAGATCTCGAGAACCACGCAACATAGCGACAAGCGGTAAACGGCGTTGGATAGCCCCAACGGGGAACTACCTTGTGACCCAATTTCATTGACCTCGGTCAAACCGATGACGTCACAGGTCAGGTCAAAGGTCGAATTTTCACCGTTTACACGCATTTCAAGAAATGCGTTGTAAAATCGAGTAAAATACATTTCATTGAAAATCATCGATGGGGAAATGTTCTTCAAACACATATTTTGCTATTTGAGGTCACTGATACCAGGTCAGGTCACAGAGGTCAGGTCACTGGGGGGTCACAATATGAAAGTGTCGTGTGGTACATGTTTTATGGTCCATTTTACATGACAAATGCGATAATGTGGGTCAGGCAGACTTTTGGGCCAGCTTAGGTCACGTTTGGTCAAGGTCAGGTCAAGGTCAGGTCAAATTAGGTCAAATTTCAAAGTTGATATTTTTGCATAAAATGGGTATTGATTCGATGCAGCTCGTCACGGGGAGTTCAATGGTGGTCTCCGTTTTGCGCTACGAGGTCTAGAATTGCTAAAAATTGAGTTCAAAAATTTGACGTCATCAATTTTTAACAGTTCTTTCGCTATAACTTGGCCAAAAAAAGAGGTGTCGATCTAAAATTTGGTATGTATATCGAAGAGCGCAGGGACTATCACATATATTCCGGTTTTTTCGAAATTCGAAAAAAGTTTGGAAATTTTTTGAGTTTTTCTAAAAAAACATTTATTTTTTATTTTTGTGGGTGAAAATCCCAAAATTTTGAAAATCCGAGATAGCAGTTTTGTAGCGCCGTCTTTTCTCTACACAACCAAATAAAGAACTTTAAAATTGCTTGTTAACTGTAGAATTGGTGAGCGTTTCAAGATGTCATGTTTTTTGCTCATTTTTACTCGAACATGACCTCAGTTTGACCTCAATAACTCCTGACCTGAGGTGACCTGTGACTTGAAATTTTGTGTGAAGGTGTCAAATTGATGCCCGGTAAGGTACCCAAAATTTTCTCGCTATTTAAGAAAAACCACAGGGGGGCCAAAATGCCCCCCCCCCCCTATCAGGGCGCGGGTTAAAGCGATGGTACTGAAAGTTTCGTCGCGATCAGCCGCTTTTTACACGAGTTATTCGCGAAAAACCGAGGGGGCCCGTTAAGTGTCTGGCGAACAATGGCACGAACAGAACAGTAGGCACGCAGTCTTTGGGAGCTGCTCCCAATGCCTCGTGTTGGCACAACAATCTCACCCGGCCAGTGGTGCTCCTCCTGACGCAGCCGTTGCAGGAGGCGGTATACGTTGGGATTCGCACAGTCCACCACACCCCTAAACGTCCTGTGCCAGCCTTCGATGGTATTCGTCGTTCTTGCACGCACGTCGCACGTCGGGGCACGCACGGGGACGCGCCGAGACGCGCTGTGTCAATGTGGTACAGCCGGCGCCCAGCGGGCGGCGGCCAGGGATCAGGTGGCCCAGCGCGGGTCAGTCGCCGACCGGAGCTGAGACGCGGGCTGCGGCGTACTTGTAGGTACCGACTTAGTTAACGACTGCTGTCAAGGACTATAGTTTTTGCTGTTGACTACTTTTGCGCATCGCCTTTTTGCGCACCTCAATTAACTATTTGCTTGTTGACTTTTTGCGTGTTGACTTTTTGTGTGTTGACTTTTTGTGTATTGACTTTTAGTGTGTTGACTTTTTGTGTGTTAACTTTTAGTGTGTTGACTTTTAGGATGTTGACTTTTGGCGTGTTGACTTTTAGCGTGTTGACTTTTAGCGTGTTGACTTTAAGCGTGTTGGCTTTTAGGCATGTTGACTTTTAGCGTGTTGACTTTTAGCGTGTTGACTTTTAGCGTGTTGACTTTTAGCGTGTTGACTTTTAGCGTGTTGACTTTTAGCGTGTTGACTTTTAGGCGCGTTGACTTTTAGCGTCTTGACTTTTTGCGTGTTGACTTTTTGCGCGTTGACATTTTGCGTGTTGACTTTTTGACATGTCGGCTTTTTTGTCTCTTTGACATTATGTCTTTTGACTTCTTGCGTGTTGACTTTTAGCTTGTTGACTTCTGGCGTGTTGACTTTTTGGCAGGTTCAATGGGAGAAAATTGAAATGCGCCTCTTTTGGACAAATGACATTATAAACACTCCCAAACACTGAATTACAAGTGGTTTAGACACACTGAACATAAAAATGGTGTCTGTGACCCCTGTTTATGCCCCTGAGGTCATCTTAGGTCACGAATGGTATCTAACAGTTTTTCGCAAATAACTTTTGATAGAGGCATGCTAGAGCGATGAAAACTTCTTAGATGTGTTCAGCTCGACGATACGGATCGACTGATATGCAACATGACCCTTTCCGGTCAGGTCATGACCTTGACCAGAGGTCAAATTTTCAAGTTGACCTTTCAAGGTCAAGTTATAGTTCATTCGATGCGTCTTGACGAGAGGAACACGATGCCGGTAAAAGTAAGCTCGTACAAGGCTTGGGTCAAAAGTTATTGCAGAAAAACTGTTTCCGAAAAAATCGGCTATTTTTGCAGTTTTTGCCCCCTGCAGGCAAAACCGTTGACGTTAGGTCAAATCTGAGTGAATTACTCAGAAAGGGCGTTAATAGGGCTATCGAATGCGCTTTTCCGCGGCGCTGCAGCTCTATTGGTTTCCGAGTTATGCGTTGGCTTCTTGGAAATTGTCGACATTCGACCTGGAAATCGGCAAAATTTTGCCTTCAATGACCTCTGGTGACCTGACCTTTGACCTGACCAAAAAATTGACCGAAGTGATTTCGTCATTATTTTTGGCGCTCTTTCGAACGCCGCCTTCCGCGTATCGCTGCGTGGCCCAGGAGCCGAGTTAGAAGGGGGGTGTTCAGACACCCCCTCCCCCCCCCCCCCCCCAGCAGGGCGTGGAAATCCAGGACCCCCAGCCGGGCGCGGGTTAATATGCTTCCTCACCTGGTGTCCTCATCCAAGATGTGAAGTGGTAGGCAGACATTTTTGTTTTTGGAGAAATGCAGTCATGTTTGATGCTCGCAGTTTTCGAGCCAGACCACGGACTTTGCTCAGCAAAGACGCTGCTTTTCTGTGCTTTAGTCTATCTCGTAAGTCACAACGGAGCATGTCGTATGCTTCGCGCAGCCCATGACGTGCATTGTCGGATCACCAGAGCTGCCGTCTGTCTGTCGGTCTGCCCTGCCCTGTCTGCCTTGCCCTGTCCTGTCCTGTCCTGTCCTGTCCTGTCCTGTTTGTCTGTCTGTCTGTCTGTCTGTCTGTCTGTATGACTTCGTTTACACAGATACCCGCCGGCGCCGTCCGGCCGACTGACCTGCTGACCGCTGCCACCTCTGACTGGGTCAGGGCAGGGATGTCCGTGAGGGGCCGCGGGTCTGCGAGATTCGCTCCACACAGCTCAGAGCAGCCGCGGAGGGCGGCCAGCTTGGTTTCCAAAGTGGCACCGACCACGCCAAGTTTGACCCACCACAAGCTGGTGAGGGAAGCCAGAAGACGTGCCAGTGCTCCCGGCGTCACGGACGGTGACTCTGTTGAACACACAGACACACAGAAATAATGACAAAGTGGCTCAGGTCCAAATATTTAAAAAAAAAAACGCGAGAGTGACTTTGGTAACATATGAGAGGTAGGTGAACAAAATACGTAAGTACAACCAGACAATGCATACCTACATGTACGTGTAGTACGTAAGGCCCTGTATATGATAGACTGAAGGGGTGGTAACGAGCACAGACATATGTAGAGAAACGAACGGTGGTTCCGGCATATTTATGTCGTTATTTTGTATTATCTTTGAACAAGACCTGACATGCAGTGGCTCTGGTATACAAATTATGAAGTGAGGCTCACATATGACATAATTGACATATATCATATACAAAGCTGAGCATCATGTCCCTAAGTGGCGTGGCTTACTGACTGTCTGTCCGTGCTGCCGCTGCTCACCGAGTATGGTCAGCGTGGTAACTCGGTAATCGGGTTGTCGGTTCGACAGAACACTCAGCTGGTCCAGGAGTTTGTCGGTTGCTAGCTGTATGCCGACACGCAGTTTACTACTATGAACTGAGCTCACTGGTGACCGAGTCATTCCCGACCCTGTGGAGAGAAACATGAACACAGATGAGTCAGTATCCAACAGGAACAGAGTGAGTATCCAAAGCAGCAGCAATCAGTATCCAATACGGTAACAGAGTCAGCATACAACACTGGTGTAAAGTTAGTATCCAACACAGGAGTAGGCACTTATACCCATCATATTCTTACATAATTACTGTTTGGCTTCATAAATAAGGTCAGTTATTTTTTTTACTACACATTACAGCATATGCAGTCTGAGCTGTTATATATATATAGGTCCTACTAGCAAACAGTAAAATGTTCTAACAGTTCGGGGATTTAGAGCATGGAGACCTGGAACAGGGACATCTTAACCCGCGCCGGGCCGGTGCTCTGAGATTCCGCGCCGGGCCGGGGGAGGGGTGTCTGAACCCCCCCCCCCTTCTAACTTGGCTCCTGGGCCACGTAGCGACACGCGGGGCGGCCTTAAGGCCGCCCCACACCGGAACTCGCATGCGGGTTGCGAGTTTTTGGGTTTTCGGGTTTCCTCAGAATCAAATAATACAATATATGCTGAGTGACCCACACTACCATCGAACAAGCGAGTATGCATGTTTTTAGCTTGCGAGCCATCTTGCATCGCATTCCAAAAGTTGATTTTGAGTCAACTTTCGATTTTTCTCGCTGCGAGGTCTGCGAGTTCTGCGAGGTTTGCGGGTTTTTCGTTTAATTCGAATTTAGGTTCGTTGTGCTGGTTTTGCGCCTATATGTAATTTTCTGAAGGTGTACCGGCTTCACTGCAGTCATGAAGTAACCATAAGGGAACGGTCTAATCACTCTATGAATTAGTATTATGCCCGCAAACTCAAAACCCGCAAACTCAAAGCCCGCATGCGAGGTCCAGTGTGGGGCGGCCATTACCAGTGATGTCCAGTTTCTTCAGCGACTTGGGTAGCAGCCACAGCCACTTTCCGGTGCTGTTCACGGGTAGGCTAAGATTTAGTCTCTCCAGAACTTCCAGCGGCTCCAGCAACGCCTCCAGCTGGCAGTCACCGATGCCGGCTGGAAGTGTCAGCTCACGCAGACTGGAGGCGTTGGCACGCGCCAGCCGACGCAGGGCAGAGACTCTCAGCTTGAAGCCACGCAGGTCGGCTGTCTGCAGGGCGTGGCAACTGCCCACTGGAATACAGCATCACCGTCAGTGAACTAGCGATCACATGGACAGGTCATAGGATACATGGAATACAACAACACTGTGTGTAAAGTAATAATCACATGGACATTGGACAGGTCACGTGATAATTAGTCATCAGATCATGTAAAGTGTGTTCCATAATCCATTACAGGACTTACCGACCAGTCGGATGTCGGTGCCCTTTTCAGCGGTCGGCGCCTTCAGTGATGTCATTTTCGGCTGGTCTTTTGCCCGTATCACGAGCTCCAGATTCGTCAGTGTTAAAGTGTTAAACCCCCGAGCAGACCGATCGGCGAGCTTCCGCCGACAGTCGTCGACGATATCGTCGACGGCGGACCGCCAGCTCCGACAGACTGTCGACACCGACGGAAAATAAATGAGAAAATGGGCATGTGTCACCGTCCAGCATCAGCGTCGGTGGTCACTTTATAAATAGTTTTTATCTCTAGACCAGAGCATATAGCCTGATGGGACTTCTCCAGCCGTCGGATCCAAGAGTATACCTACATCCGCGTGACTGCATTTCAATTGGCTGAGGAAGAAAAGACACGTCGGCTGGAATCGCCTTATAAAACACGAGCTCGGGGTTCACCGTGGCGAGAGACTTACCACGTCTGGCGCGGAGCATCTCCCTGCAGTTCAGCTTGCACAGCACCTTCTTCAGCGCATCCGTGTCCAGGATATCGATGTTTGTCTCACTGGGATCGGTTTTATTCAGGTCGCCTCCAGCCGGCGCCGCCTGGGTCGTTACGTCATCAGAATTGATGACGTCACATTTGGTGGGAGCGTCGTCCGTCGGAGTGGTGACGTCCTCACCGTCACTGGGAGGAGATGACGTCAATATGACGTCAGATGACGACCTCTGACGAAACCCTACATCCCTCCCACCCATAGGCCATAGGTACGGCTATCGCGAGCTTAAGCGGTAGGCATTGCACTTTTACATTTCCGGTTATATCTCAGAAACTAATCGATCTACGATGACGCCATTTTACACGCTCATGGCCGGCTTGTGAACCAACAAGTCGATGGCATCTTCAACACTAAGCTTAAGACGACGAAGATATAGCCTGAAATATACTAAATTTTATAGGTGCAAAACCTACCGCTAAAACCCGCGAGACCTGCACATCCATATAGGCCAGCCCTACAAATTTCCAGAGTCAGAAACTACTTCTTTCGGCCAGGTCCCAGGACCAACAATGCCATCCACTAACATGATCCGCTTCACCCAGTGTGACCCCTTCTGCCTCTCATGAGTCTCACTGCCTCCCACTCTCACTCCAGCTGCATTTACCTCCCCCCCCTGCAGTCTCTGGGGGGATCTCTCACCCCTTGCTATTTCTCATCCTTTGCTATCTCTTACCCGTTGCTATTTCTTACCCGTACTATTTCTTACCCCTCCTGTCGGATGCATGTCTCATCTTGCTGAAGCTTGCATGTCTTCTCTTGCTGAACGCTGCTTGTCTTCTCTTCCTGAAGGCTGCTTGTCTCTTCTTGCTGCAGGCTGTTTGCTTCTCCTTGTTGAAGGCTGCAAGTAGCCTTTAGCAGACGGTCGCATTTCTCCTTGGGTGGGCAGACCTTCTGCTCCAGCCTACCGATGGCCTTCCAGATGTCTTTCTCTATGGTTTGTCGGGCTGTGCGCTCCTCAATCAGCGCCTGCCGGAATCTGGCCATCTCCTCTTGAAGTTGCTGTATCTCCATCTCTGAAACAGGTGGACAATGATCTGATGATCTACTGCTCATGATCAGATAGGATCTGACCAAGTTAGGCAGGGTTAACCCACGTCCGTATTGCCGTTTCGCCAGCCACTAACGTAGAGTGGGAAGGAAAGGGGGTCTGGTGGATCTTCTACCTTCCAGTCCCTGATCAAGCTAGAGCTTCACGAAAAAAAACGAACTTGCTGTCCGTGAAGAGAGAAAGCCGATGTTAAGATCCTAGGTCATCGGTTGACCTTTGAAGTCAGGTCAATGACCCAATGGTCGTAAAAATCAACTTGTGATATAGGTACTACGTCTTTGGTTGACCTTTCAGGTCGGGTTTGATGACCCGACAGTCGTGAAAATCGAGGCATGCTAGATAATTCTGGTGAGGTCTTACGAGTTTTCAGGGCCCTGACTTTGAGTTTCATACAAGATTTCATCAGCGAAGATGTTCTTATGCGTTTCGGGTGGGTTAGGTCAGGTCAGGTCAGGTCAGGTCAGGTCAACTAGTAAGCGTCCCAACGGCTATTCATGGTAGGTATATAGGTACCTACATATGATAGGTGTCAGCCAGCACTAACAGCTTCGTTACATGTTTTGTAGGCCGACCAAAACAACTTCATAATGATTGAATGAATACATGAATTCAAAATCAGCTCCAAAAACTAGCCCTCACCCGTATTGGTGTTTTTCCAGCCGCGAACGTACCTATAGGGGGGGGGGGGCTCCAACGGACCCCCCTTGCTGTTTCGCCCCTGATCGAGCTAGAGCTTCGCGGAAAAAACGAGCGTGTTGCCCGTGACGAGAGGAAGCCGATGATACCCAATTTTAAGGTCCTAGATTATCGGGTGACCTTCCAGGTCAGGTCAATGACCCAAAAGTCGGGAAAATCGGGACCTGTTAGAAAGTCGTAAAGCGTGGCGAACTCAGCGGGAGTTTGCATATAGAGCGGCAGCATCGTGGAATGCGAAGGACACCGCCACAGGCACCTGATTTTAGAATGTCAACCTGCTGATGTCAACTTCCTACATGCGGATGATGCGTTCGCGAGTGTTTTAATGTAATCGTCGATGTGTTTTAACGTAGCTTTTGCCATTGTATCAGTATCATATATTTTTAACTGGGTCTCATTTAGCTCTTATGTCACCATGTCACATTCCTGACCGGATTCATACCCACCCCGTGGAAGAATTCTAATAAATGACTTCGATATATGGAAGCACGCTCGCATCAATCGCACGCACCTCCTGCATTCGATTGATGCGGGCAAAATTATAATGTAGGTATTTGAATAGGTTATAGCATGCTCGATTTCCTTAATGTGAAAAGAGTCTGTTTCAGCTTTTAATATGGGTCACAGCCCTGAAGTATGTACCTTCTGTCCAGACCACTTCCCTACCGCTACCGCGACCCCTTACCGTGCTATCCGCTGCTGCCCGAGTCTCCAACATTCACAGCCGACCCAGGGCCGCACTATAGAGCCCCGACCCAACCCTCAAGTCGCCACTGTAACACTGGAACACACGGTATTGACTTTGACTGGGCGCCGCTTGAAGTTTACAGGCATGTGGCACGATACATGGGCGCACAGTGGGCCCAGTACACTGTGCAGCGGGAAATAATTCAACGGCTTATCTGCGTATTAAAAATGACAGCGATTTAGGCGATATTGATATATAAATTAATGCGTCTCTTCTTATTGATTTTCCATCACAAGTAGCTGCGTGTATGGGCGTTTCGAAAACAATGTCACTATTATAAACAGCTCCCGTTTGTTGACTATATGATAAACATAATTTATATTGAGGTAGACCCAATGGCACAGCATTTTAGCTGGCACGATTAGTCACAAGCCCTTATACCAGTTTTACACAAAACGACACCCCACTGATGCAATATAATGTTCGTATGGTTCCACTGTGCACCCTGGTATCCAACAACAGTCCACAAAGGCTCGCCGTATCGACTACCCGTGACGTCATCATGGCAGTTCAATTGTCTGTGGGGCATTCCACGTCAAGTGGGACAAAAAAATGACCATTTTGAACCTCACCTCCTCGGATTTTTGCGAAACTTGGTGAAACTACTCATCTATATGTGAAAAGAAAGGAGACATTTTCTTGTCAAGATATGACGTCACGTTTCCGAGATACACGTCATCAAACATTGACTTAGGCAAGGCACATTATCATCTTTAAAGCGTCATAACCATTGAAGTTTTAGACATATCACCACGAGACAAAGTTTGAAATGGAGAGAATAGATCAGGCTTTAATTTGAGGATAACAATATTGACTTAATTAACTAATTAGTGAACTTAATTAAAATTCAAAAAATAAATTTTGATTTTCTGAAAAATGGGTACCCTTCGATTTTGCTGATTTTTACATATTTTATTCTCCTATACATTAGCTACATCATATAAAAAATCCAGAATGGGCCGACGTCTACGTAACTGTCTTTTGGACTTCGTAATGTCTGGCACTCGCGTGTTTCGTTTTAGCAACCAAGAAGAGGCGCTATCCGAAGATGCTTCTTTCTGCCCCAAACCAAAGCAAACCTAACCTGACCTGACGTGACCTGACCTAATTCAACACGCGTAAATATATACAGCCCACACGGCAGTTGCCGACTGGCCAAATGCTACTTAGATACGAGCATTAGCCCTCACGACATTTGCCTGCTGGCCATATGCTACTTAAAAACGAATGCGTGTTGAGGCTGACCGGCTGCGAGGCAGCGACCTTTAGAATACGAGGTGGGTACACTCGGCACACTAACTACTAAGCCATGAAGATAGGTGGTCATCGCGGAGATGTAAGCCAGTTTTTTTTTTAATGATGCCATTGGGCATTCTCCGGGCAGCGCCTCTCTTTGGTTGCAAAAAGGAAATACCTACGCATGACTCTCCCAGCGTTAGGGGTTTAGCCAAAAAAGGTATTTAAAAAAACGGAATTTGAATTGTAACTGGGGCGGTGGGAACTTTATCGTGTGCCAATTTCATGGCCCTAGATCAATATCAAGATCAAATGAGGTTAAACGTGATCAAATTTGCTATAGTGACTATTTTGCGTTTATACGCCCATAGCTCTAAGAGTTACTGGCCGAATTTCCTATTTCTTCCTTTATACGACATTTGTAGCGTTATGAGAATCTAGTTAATCTAACCATAAATTTGGTAGTTAGTGGCCTGATAAGAGTAAGATGTCGCCGGCAGAGGCGAGGATCGGCCGACGCGGGAAACGTTTCAGTCAAAGATTGTGTTTGCACCCTAATAATTCAATTTTTACCGGTTGATGTTCGTATTCATTTGACCAATAGATTGCGTGTACATTTTTAAACCTTCACACAAAACTTGACACGAATCGATCATAATCAGCGGTAAGAAGCGCAGTGCAAAGATGGAACAGTCCCGCGCCGGCACAGTCTACCATTCAGGCGGCAACGGCCGGCGCCGGCCGCCGCGCCGCTCCGGCAAGATGTTTGACTTTACACCGATATTACTAGAAAAGTTGCGGACCGATTTACCTATTGCTTGCACGGAAGGATTTGCAATTCAATTCTGGACAGATACTGAAAGTTTGACGTTAATATAATAAATATGGCGTGAGTTATTGGCGAAAAACAGGTGGGATTGCCGAAATCGGCCCCTTCCACCGGCCGTGCTTCGTTGCACTACTTGTTGCTATATCATCCAAAGTTATCGTTGGCCCACTCTAATTTTTTTCAGCACGTGTGCGTTACGTGTAGCGGAAGACAATATCTAAATTTGAGCAAAATCGAAGGGTACCCATTTTTCACAAATTAGATTTTAAGAAATTAAATCAAAATAAAATAAATTCAAAATCACCAAAAAATGTAAAAATTGCCAAACTTAACTAACATAACTCCTTATGTACACGTTTCAGTTTGTTTGAAATTAATAGCTTCAAAAATGTTGAAGCTATAGATCTTTCAAGATTGCAATACACGTCCAATTCTGCTAAAAAAAGCAGAAGTTAAGCGACTTGTATCTCTGTAGCCCGAGGGCATATGACAAAATCCGTTCACCATCAGAGGTTTCACCCAATAGCCAATAAGTATACCAAGTTTGAACAAAATCGCAGAGGTGACCGATTTTGGCTGTCCCGGTTGACATGGAATGCCCCCTGTCGAACCGAGGACCATGGGTTATTACGTGGTGCCCCTATAACGAAACGTCGGTGGCTCGGAGATCGGGCCCTGGTTGCTGATGAGGAATGATTTTCCTTGATAAACGACAACTATTCGGTATCGCGCTCAGTATCGCAAGAAGCGAAAAATACCGACGATAATTTTTCCACACTGAAGAGAATCCTAAGAGCACGGTCGCGGGGATATTGTTCCTTTGTCGTCAGATGATAGCCGGCCGACACAGAGATGGCCAACGTATACATATTTTGGGAATAATTTTCAAACAATTCTCCCTAAAACTAGACATGCCGAGCGTGTCCTCTCGGAGATAATTTTCCGACGAAAAATATCCGAGGGACGACATTTTCCGAGTGCCGAACACACGCTTTATGGGTTTGTGTCGAGGCATACTGAAAAGAACATTTGACATCGTAGCAAGCAATAGCACGTTTATTCCTTACTCTCAAACGGCAGTGGAAACTATACCATACATCAGTTGAGCATTGATGACTAACGACATCATCATAGGCTTGGGTCACAGACCCCACTCATGTAGTGACGTCATAGTATGTCACCTATGACGTCACAGCCCACCAGGCAGTGCATCATTGCCTCTGGATTAGCATATACCAATGCGACAAAAACGGTTGATATCTGAACTATGACAACAAATCGACTTCTTCCGATCAGATTTCGCATTTCATTCTATCGCAACCATGACATCATCGATAACCGACTCATCTAACTTACATGGCCTTCAGTTATGTATGAACACTTTCACAGTAGATTCCTCACACACAAACACACACCTACATCACAGCCAAAAATCCAAGATGGCGCCATC